ATGAAGGGATAGATGAGGAGAGGAGAGAGAGAGAGAGAGAGAGAGAGAGAGAGAGAGAGAGAGAGAGAGAGAGAGAGAGAGAGAGAGAGAGAAGAGAGAGAGAGAGGGAGAGAGAGAGAGAGAGAGAGAGAGGAGAGAGAAGAGAGAGAAGAGAGAGAGAGAGAGAGGAGAGAGCAGAGACAGAGAGAGAAACGGAGAAGGAGGACAGACAGACATGGAGGACAGGAGAAAGGGAGGGAGGGACAGGGGGAAGGAGAGAAAGGAGAGGAAGAGGAGGAGTTGAGGAGATTAGGGAGGGGAGAAGGGGGATGGAATGCGAGAGGGGGGGAGGAGGAGGGGAAGGGAGGAGGGAGGAGTGGGAGAATAGTAGGATGGGACAGGAGGGCTTGGCTGAAAGGGGGAAGGGGGGGAGGAGATAGACAGGAAGAGGTGGGGGGGGGAGGAGGGGGAGAAGAGGAGAGGGGGGAGAGGGGTGGATAAGAGGGGAAAGATAGAGTGAGAAAGTGAGGGGAAATGGAGGGGGAAGGAGGGAAGAGAGAGGGTAGGAGGGGGCTAGGATTACCGCACCAAGCAAGTTAGATCCCCGGCAACAAGATCCGTTCCCCACAAAGCGAAAAAAAAAGGAAAAAACAAAATTGAAAGAAATACGAAGAGAATACGGCACTGCAGAGCCGGAACTGGGGGGAACCAGATGAAGGGGAGCAAATTGAAAATAAACGAACGAGGGAAGAAGCGATAAAGAAGAAAAGATGAAGAAGATTCGAATGATTAAGAGAAAAATGTGAATATAGAGAGCAAACTACAAGGAAAAAAAAAAATCAAGACAAGAGCAAGTCAGGAAAGGAAAGCAAGACAAAGTGGAACAAATTGAAAACAAACGAACGAGGGAAGAAGCGATAAAGAAGAAAAGATGAAGAAAGAATGATTCGAAAACGCGAAGAGGAAAATACAATAACGACGAGAGCCAAAAGAAAAAAAAGACAAGAAAATCAAGGCAATAAGAGCAAGCCAAGGAAGGAAATGCAAGCCGAGGAAGGAAATGCAAGCCGAGGAAGAAAAGCAAGTCGAGGAATAAAAGCAAATCAAGAAATTAAAGCAAGTCGAGGACGGAAAACAACCCAAGATGGGAAAGCAAGTCAAGGAATAAAAGCAAGTCGAACAGAAAAAAAGCAAATCAAGGAAGAAACGAATTCTGGAAAATAAAGCAAGGCGAGGAGGAAAATATGTTATGGAGAAGCAAGTGAAGGAATAAAAGCAAGTCAGGGACGAAAAGCAAGTCGAGGAAGGAAAGCAAGCCAAGATGGGAAAGCAAGTGAAGGAATAAAAAGCAAGTCGAGAAGGGAAAGCAAGTCAAGGAAGAAAAACAAATCAATGAAGAAAAGCAAGAAAAGGGGGGAAAGAAAGTCAAACAAGAAAAGAAAGTAAAAAAAAAAAAAAAAAAAAAAAGTCAAGGACGAAAAGCAAGTCAACGAGAAGAAGCCACGAACAGAGGAAAGGCGAACGAGGAATAAAAGCAAGCCAAAGAGAAAATCAAGTCAAATAAGAAAAGTCGAAGACAAAGAGCAAGTCAAGGAGGAAGAGCAAGTTAGGAAAGAAAACGCAGAAATGAAAACAATTGATAAAGTTTAAAAGAAGTCGAGAATGAAAATCAAATAAAGGAGAGGAAAAGGGAGAGAGAGAGAGAGAGAGAGAGAGAGAGAGAGAGAGAGAGAGAGAGAGAGAGAGAGAGAGAGAGAGAGAGAGAGAGAGAGAGAGAGAGAGAGAGAGAGAGAGAGAGAGAGAGAGAGAGAGAGAGACAGAGAGAGAGAGAGAGAGAGAGATGAGAGAGAGAACAGAGAGAGAGAGAGAAGAGAGAGCGAGAGAGAGAGAGAGAAGAGAGAGAGGAGAGAGAGAGAGAGAGAGAGAGAGAGAGAGAGAAGAGAGAGAGAGAGAGAGAGAGAGAGAGAGAGAGAGAGAGAGAGAGAGAGAGAGAGAAGAGAGAGAGCGAGAGAGAGAGAGAGAGAGAGAGAGAGAGAGAGAGAGAGAGAGACAGAGGACAAGAAACGCGAATCAAAGAGGAAAATCAATTCAAAGAGGAAATCACGGAAATAAGAAAAAAATAAGAAAAAGACAAGAGGAACACAAAAAAGAAAGAAAGAAAGAAAGAAAAAAAATAGATCTCAGAGTAGGCTGTTGGGGATTGATTGAGTAATTAGCATTGGCAAATGGGCCAAAAGTGGTGGAGGGGGAGGAGGGGGGAGGGAAGGAGGGAAGGAAGGAGAAAGGAGAGGAGGAAGAAGGGAGGGAAGGAGGAAGAAAGGAGGGAAGAAGGAGAAAGGAGAGGAGGAAGAAGGGAGGAAGGAGAAAGAAGAAGGTGGGAGGATTAAGGA